TATTCATGTGGTTTACTTCTCTGGCTCCTCCTATTAGGTGAAACCTGTAGAACTAGAGCGTGTCCTGTCAAAAGGAGCATACATGCTTCTGTACTCAAGGTAAGTAATTAAACTTGCCCTATGTTGAAGAAGGCTCTAATGGAGGGATGCATAGTATATAACCTGTACTTCATTTATAGGTGCTCTCCGCGGGCCCCGAGGTTGATAAGGAATTCAACAGTTTCTCATGATGCTCGGGCACAGAAGCCTTTGCCCTGTAAATCGAGTTCTCATAGAAATTCACTGGATTACTCGTCAAATGGCCAGGGATGTAAACAATGCTTGAATTCTTCGCGAACGGGACCCTGGCCGAATCAAACAGTAATGACAGAGGACTCGTCGAGCGACAACTCGTCATCGCTCTTTTCTGAAGGCGGCTCTTATAGCACTGACAGCAGCAACCGGGATTCCACTGAGGATTTTGTGGACCAGTTGTTTGGTGGCGATCCCGGCTATGGGTGGAGGAACTCTACAGATTCCGAAACGTCCTCTTCTTCGTCATCTCCTTTTTCCAGGCACTCACCCCTTGCTGACATGGACCGTTACGCTTCTTCTGGATATCCCGAGGCAAGGAGTGGGTACATAGACTCTTCAACTGATCATCAGCCGCAGGGGTTTTGGAGAGGGCCATCGTCAGAGCAGAATACAACAGCCAAACATTGTAGCAAGAGCTTAGGTGCCAGTAGAAGCAGTGGCAGTAAAATAGGATCTGATAAAGCTTATGGAAACATGAAATGTAGATGAGGTAAATGTCAACCCTACCCTAGTCTGAACTATCTATCATATATGATTATTAAGTTTTGTCTGTATTGTAGATGGCAAGTAAATAAACCCTTTATGAGCTGTAGAGTTTGGGGTTAAGAGTTTGGGCGTATTTCCTGGGGCACCCCTAGTGAGAAACGTGCCAGAGCCATGTTTTTTGTCTCCCTTCCCCCCATTTGTAATCCTAGGGTTTAACATAAATACTCCGTATATAATTTATTAATATACATGTATCCTTAACTTGAGTATGAAATGTGGGTGTTCTTCCCATTTCCAAATGTAACTGCGGGGTTTGTTTAATTTTGGGGTGTCTATTGCATTTAAGAGCATCATTTAAAACTAGAGGCGTGTACAGTTTCTTAAAATGAAGTAACCGGAACTGATAGCCCTGAGTAAGGATGGCAATGGGGGCGGGGGCCCGTGGGGAACCGCCCCGTGGGGGGGAGTTGGGGCGGGTGGTGGGGTGGCGCGGGTGGTGAGGTGGGGGAGATATTTTCTCCCCGCAAAAATATGGGGCGGGTGATGGGTTATGCACCCCCCGCACCGTCCCTGCCCCGTCCCCCGTAATAATTAATAATAATAATCTCAATAATAATACTAATAATAGTAGTAATACTAATACAAAGTAATTAAAATAGCATGGTGGTCCGGTGGGTTTAGTGGTTTCCTATCTAATGGATTGTGCGTAATGGATCTATCTAATTCTTGTTTAATAACTAAGCTATCTTGTAAAATTGCTTATCAAAATCATAAAGTAAAATGATTTTTTTAGAGATAAAATAAAATGAATTTGGGAAAGTTATAAAGTGATATTAGCTTAAACGCCTCAGGCACGGTGTGAAAGTTTTTTCCTTTACTATTATAATGCATTAATTCTTTTCTTTTGAATGTCATCTTTATGATTGTAGTTAGGGCTCTTAAAATTTGGTGATCATATGTCGTCCTAGATGCCATCAAATGACCATGATTGATTGAATGCAGGGTTTAAGAAAATATTATAGAGCTAATCAATGCTAATTTAGAGTTTGATAAAAATTACTAATTTAGAACGCGTATAATGTGTTCTAGATTTGAAATGGGATGTAAGATTACATTGACACTTAAAAAGTAAAAAAAAAAATTGGCTACTAGAAGTGTTGTTAAATTTTTGAAAAATTGTCCCCCGAGTCTAAAATGATGTTAATTTTTGACGAGTACTTCCCCGTTGGGTACCCGTGGGTCTAGCGGGTCGGGGCGGGGGATGGGGCGGGTCGAATAGTAGTGGGGGATGGGGCGGGGGTGGGGGCGATTTTTTAGACACGGGGCGGGGGATGGGGGAGTGAACCCCCGCCCCAACCCCGCCCCATTGCCATCCCTAGCCCTGAGCCCTGAGAGTCGGTGCAGCTGCATGACCCGAATGAGATTTGCAAAAAAATAGGCCAAATTCAGTCCCTAATTAAGCGAGGTGTCCCCGATATGGATTTTGGAGGATTTAATGGAGATTAGAATTCCGTTAGAATTTAGGTGTCCCTGATAAATAAGGATGTTCTCAAACATTTCGTGAATTTCTATTACGTAGTATTACTCAATGTTCTAAAAGGTGTTAGGCGGTAGTCAGGCGTCAGCTCAGCGGCTAGGCGGGTGCTTAATCGGGGACTAGTCGGAGACAAAGAAATCACATTTTTGTCTATATTTTCGCATAAATGTGATGAGTAATATTGTATTTTTGTGTATAAATTATACATATATAATAACAAACATGAATGATAGAATTACCACATTTAATCATATGTACTATACGATAACTAATCACTTAACTTCATTATGTTATAAATATAAATAATGATGAAATTTAGGTATATATAGAAACATACTCCGGGTATATAGTTTTATTTTAATTTACAACTTCATTTCTTTTTATCCATGGCTAAAGCTAAAGTACGTATATCGCTTAGAAAACTAAAACTAAAAAGTAAAGTAATGTTTGGTGAATCTCGACGGCCTAGGCGGCTGATTAGGCGCTCTAGGCAGGCAACTAGGCGGCATAGGTGGTCGACTAATTCACCTAGACTGTTAACCAATTAGTCGGAGCGCCTAGACGAAAATCGGGGCGCCCGACTACCACCTAGTGCCTAGGCGGAGACTAGTCTGACGCCTAGAACAATTTTTAGAACAGAGATATTACTTATTGGGTTGGATGAGAGTATAACTTTAGAGAGAGCAAAGTGGCGGGCAGGTATTCGTGTGGATGAGTAATTTCTTATTATCTTTTCCTCTCATCTTTTTTTCTTCTTGTTTTTTTGTATCCTTTTATCCTTATACGTAGTATATATTAACTTTATTTTTATCCTTTCTATTTTATCATTTTTAGGTATATTTATCTCTTTTTGTACTATTTTTTATAATAGCTTATCTTTTTTATATTTATTTTCTTTCTTTTCCTTTTGATGGTGATTTCATGTATGGATTCATGTTAGCCGACCCCAATATCTTTTGGGACTAAGGCTTGGATGTTGTTGTAGTATTACTTATTGGGAAAAATAAATAAAATACACTAAACTTTTCCTACGTGTGAGTTCCCTACCTTATACTTGTTGCACCTCCAATTATTTGAATTTGTAATACCCATATCCTATCTTTTAGTAACAAGTAATATTTCTGAATTTAATGTTTATTGACACAATCAGGTACTCCCTTCGTCCTTTCGTCCCATTTTATCTCTCCTACTTCCCCTTTTGGTTTGTCTCAAAATAAGTGTCTCATTTTCTCTTTTGAAAAGAAATATGTTGCCTACAACATTTCACTTGTTATACTTAAATCTCAATCACAACTTTTACTTTTTCAACCATTTTTTTAATAATTGTGCCAAGTCAAAGTGAGACACATAAAATTGAACTGAGGTAGTATTATATATTCAAATAGAAAACAAGAAGGCCACTGAAAAATTATGCCAACTCAAATGTCCTTTGGATCTTTAGAAATAATAAGATTACATGCATCTAAAATTTAAGAGTTAATGCTTTGTGTACACACCGTATTACTCATTTGCTTAGACACCCAAGTGTAATTGTCTGCGATCCTGAATTGTCTGTACACATATAATTACACTTGGGTGTGTGAGCTAGGGGTGGACCGGTTCCGGGCCGGGCCCGGTTCGGGCCTTGAACCGGCCGGGCCTCGGTTCAAGGTAGGGGAGGCCCGGAACCGGCCCGGGTTACCCCGGTTCGGGCCGGGCCGGGCCCGGTTCGGTTCTATATAATTTTTTTTTGGGTTATCCTAATCAACCCCCCCATCCCCAAACCACCTCAAATGGCCCAAAATACCCAATCCAACCCAAAAATTTAAAAAAAAATTCAAAAAAAAAAAATTAAATTCGGCCCGGAGCGGGCCCGGACCGGCCGGACCGGTTCACCAAAATGAAGGCCCGAGCCCGGAACCGGTAGCCACCGGGCCGGGTCGACCCAAACCGCCCATGGGCCGGGCCGCCGGGCCGGTTCAAACAGTGACCGGGCCGGTCCGGTTCCGGTTCGGGCCGCCCGGCCCGAGTCCAACCCTAGTGTGAGTCAGTGTGTAACTCGGTATGTCCGTACACGAAGCAAAACTTCAAATTAAAATAGATGGAGGTATATTTTTAAACAAGACAAGTATGGGGTGATAAACTCACACCTAGGGAAAGTTCATGGTATTTTATTTTATTTTCCCTTACTTATTTGGATGGATTTTGGTGGCACCCTCGTATTTCAAGAATGACGTAATTCAGACATAAGTGCCTATTTATACTAACAACTGAGATTTAGGCCAAACGGGCCTAATACACACGCACATGGTTGTGCACGAAGTGTGCGTCTTTCCTTCGTCGTGATGCGCACAAAGGTCGTGTGCGCGCCTTGCGCGGTATCATGAACGCGCCGTCTCTGCAAATGTTCTATGGTGACACGGTGGTTAGCACGCACTGCGGATCGGCCGTGCGTACACACCTGAGCCATGAAAATCAAAGTCAATAAATTGTCAATTTCACTATTTCAAGCTTTCGGCAGTTCAAACATTACGTGAATACCGCTTTTAGTAAGTACTAGAACAAATCCAATTCCAAACGGTCCGATTTCCGCAACTCAATACTAATTTGTTTAGGAAAACTGTCGAATAAACTCTCAAATAGCACATGATAGAAGTAATTAGGAAGCTAAACCCAAAAACACCGATGTGCCAGTTTCGCTTACTTGGTGATACACTAGTGAAATATAACACCATCTTCTTCCTCCAATCCGTCCACCGATAAAGTTCAGAATTCTTTGCTCTAGTTTGAGATTCTTTTTAGTTGACCACAAGTATTCATTTTCAGAAACGCCACAACGAAGTCAATTAAAAATTTAACAACACCAGCATGAGAACATGACTTTGCCTTCATCTGCTTCATTAAATCTTCAAGCAAACCTTGGGGGTACCATTATTGGAATAAACACTTGTTATGAATTTCAATGCTCCCCATGACATTGACAACTACAAATAAATAATATGGTCTTAATTGTTTTCATATCTTAAGAGAAAAAATTACGATAACGAAAGGATATGTAAACAGGCTGGATTTCGTCTAATACACAAAAAACATGCATTTCTTTTCGTATGTATGTGATGATTCTCTTCTTTTGCATCAAGGTATCACCTATTCCCTTCCGCGTTCTCTCCCTTTAGAATGCATTTAATTAATAAATAAAACTATAGTGTATTTGTGAAGGAGATTTTTGGTAATGCTGTGAGCTAACTTGATTCGAAGTAATAAAAGGCTTAGATAAATGGAAGCAAGAGACATGGTCACCATCTTTTGTTTTTGTCTCTTTATTTAACCTTTTTCACCAGAAGGTGATATGTAAGTGTTTTCTTAACTGGATAAATATAGGTACAACATATGATCTAATATGTTATGAGGATCCATAAAAACGAAAAGATCAACACCACACGCATTAACGGGAAGAGAAAAGACTATGTGGGCGCGAAAATAGTTAATATAAGGAACTTCGCAACTGGCTTTGAAGTTTGAACGTTCTTTGGGCTTCCTTGGGAGTTGGTATGGGGTGTTTCTGCAATTCTGCTTTTCCTTCTATTTGAAACTTCCAAATTTCCAATGTATCCATTTTTTTTGTTACAAGTTACAACCAATGTATCCATTTAATCCCCCTTATCATTTTTTCATTTTTTTTTGGAAAAAAGGTCAAATAAGCTTATAGTATTTTCAAATCCGTCACTTATGTCCTTGTACTAAAAAAAGTACTCCGTATCACGTATGTTTACTTTTAAAATTAAATCAATCAAGCCATTTGACCTGCTATAGTAGGTCATTCTAAAAAAATTAAAATAAAAAATAAAAAAAGCAGATAACTGAAAAAAATAAAGTGAAAATAAAAAATAAAAAATGTAAAAAACTTTTTAAATTGATGTAGAATATAAAAATATTTTTAAACATTAAAAAATATTAACTTTGATATTTAAAATCTGCTACAGGTCAAAAACTGATTAAATGGTCAAATTGATCAATTTTGTAAAGTATGCGTACTTATAACATACTTTTTAGTATTGGGCCCTAAGTAACGGATTGAAAATAGTAGAAGGATTTATTTGATCATTTTTCCTTCTTCTTTGGTTATCCAAAAAACTTTTTCATTTTCTCATTAATTTGCAGTTCTTATTATATATTTCTCTCCTCTTTGTACAAATCAGTAATCACCATTGCAAAACTTTTCTTGTGTTATTCTCAATGTCAATCAAACTTATCAAATTTATTAGGGAAAAATATTATTAGCCCCTGAGGTTATATCATAATTACTAATGCAACCTTGCATTTTAAAAATTCAATTAGTTGCTCCCTAAGTTTGGATCATTCTCACTATATACCCCTTGACATTAATATTTGCTAATTAAATTTAATATACCTCTTAAATTCAATGAAAGTTGTATATAAATTTAATTTTTAAAATATAGTACAATTTATTATCATAATTATAAGTCATTGTTGATGATCGTTTATTTTTCTACTTAACTACTGGATCGTAGAGTAACTATTAATGAGAGTAATTAAGAGAAAGACTCACGAGTAATATCCATGAGATACATAAAAAGAATTGTTTATAGAATGTGTTATCAAAATTTTATGCACTTCTTCATTATGAATATAAAATTCTTATTTGTAATTTATTCGGTTGAATTAATGTCAATGACATTTCTTTTGTGTGTAGCAAAGAAGAAATACCAAGATTTTTTTATCTATCCATGACCTAAAAGATAGGTTTCGTATCAATAAGGGACCTAAAAGATAAAGTGTGTAATGATTTTGATTATTTCAATTATTCCATGATCTAAATAATTGAAAGCTATCAATTTAAGACCTAAAATATCATAGCTTTTAATTTATTTAAAAAAATTATTATCTCTGTTACTAATTTGTGATGATTTTATCTTCACAAAAAAATTTTGACTGTAAAAAGCTTATTAGTCTTACAAAATTAAATGATATTTAATTTTTTAAATTAAAATTTTAAAAATTCATGATATTTTTATATCTAACTGGTTCGTATTTTTCTTAATTACTCTCAATAATATTTATTCCACGATGAAGTAGCTAAGTAGAAAAATAACGAGCAACTACAATGACCTATAATGATGATACTAATTTGTGTTTTACATTAATAATTAATTTTATAGACAATTTTTATTGAATTTAAGAAAATTTTTAAATTTAAATTTAACAAATATTAACGTGAGAGGGAAAAGAATAAGAATGATCCAAACTCAAGGGGTAACTAGTTGATTTTTGAAAATATAAGGTTGCATAAATAATTATGACATAACCTCAGGAGGTTAATAGTAAATTTCCCAATTTATTAAGTATAGAGGGCGTACTAAATAGTCCAACTCACCTCACTAGTACTGCTTCTCTCTCACCTCAATGGGACTTTCTCCCTCTAATGAGCATCTCAATGAAGTTGCAATGAAGTTCAAATTACATCGCAATTTAAAAAGTTGCATTGGAGAATTTAAAAGCATCTCCGATGCAAAACCCAACTAGTTATTAATGGTGATCTTCGCAATAAACCTCATGTGTGGATCGGCCTACGTTTTGCTACTCTCCACCAATATTCTCTAATCAACTCAAGTTACCCTATTAATTTAGATTGTTTCATTATTCTTTCTCAATTCACAACTAAAGTTTTATAAATCTAAAACAAATAATTGTACTTTTATTTGCCAATTCTATAACTGTTATTCGAGCTCTAGCTTATATAATTCAGCTCGTATGATTTGTATTTTTTATACCCAATAAAGTTCATCATATTCCACAAATTACATAAAAATATACTACACTTACGTATAATTCATTTACAGCAAATTTATAACTTTTCTGTCAGTGAATAATATACACAATACACAAACATATATCATACTTTTACGGTTACATACTTTTCACATATTGTTTACAATACTTTGTACAATCATTTACACCAATAATATAGGTTTTGTATAAAAAGAGTACTACACATAGGATGTTTTTACTAAGACTGTAATTTGCCGGTCTGGTCTGCTCTGATATGGTCTGGTCTGATATGATTTCTTTGTATTTATATAACTATCCAAGTCTGGTGTGGGACAGATTACAGTCCAAGTAAAAACATTCATGGTATATATCATTTACAATATAATGCGTCTCAAACTATTTCGAGACTAATAAGGCTTTAATATTATTGTTGTATATACATTGTTTATTTTAATATCTCTTGCACATTTTAGTAAGGGGTGGAGAAGGCCCCCGGAAGAAAAAGATTGTGATGTAAATAAATATGTATGGAGTATAAATATATATAAGTAGTAATTAAAGAGAATATAGTGAAAATTTAAATTTTGGCCCCCGCTTTATAAATTCCTTAAGCCCGGTCCGGTCCCCGTTACCTACCATTCCTGGCCCCGCCATTGCATTTTACACAGGTATTATATAAGTTAAAATAACATTTGTTACACTAAACATTTTTGTACACATTCTTAGACAAAACTTACCTATATTCATGGGCGGAGCCAAGGGAGGGTCAGGGTGGACAGCCGACCCCGCTGAAAATTTGAGAGTATAGAGCTCTGGAATATCTTTGATTTGATATATTATGGCTCCCGTAACTCATTACAAGTAAAAAGTTATGACTTTTGGAAAATCAGCACTTTCTAAACGTAAAATCAGCAAAATTTAAAGCGTAATATTGATTATTTTCCCAAATGATACATTCCATTTGGACATTGTCTAAAAACAATCTACCATTTCATTTTGTACAAAATTGATTTTCGACCCCCCTGAGCCATTTTTCTGGCTCCACCATTGCCTATATGTTGGATGAATTCGTCGTCGGAACCTGCAAAACAATGTTAGAAAAAAAAAACAGCTCGAGACGCGTTAGACGCTGTTCTAAAGAAAGTATTTCCGATGGCCGGAAATCTTTCACCAGGATATAACGAGCTCTTCGACGGATCGCCGGACACAGAACTACGAGGATAGAAAAATGATTTTGTAATCCAACAGTGTTTAAACGATAGACATGTAAAAGGCTTAGTAAAAATATATGGACGTGTGTTTTGTTAAGAAATGTTTATGGGAGAAGATAAAACTTGGTTTATAGCAACTGGATTTTGAACTTTCGTATATAGAAGGAAGCCAAAGTCTTACGTTTTGGAATACCACTATCTGCCCATTTTATACGAAGTATAATGATAATGAAAATTAATCACTTGGAGTTTGTTGTGGATCCATATTTGTAGGAGTGAAAAATGCTCAACGAAGTTTACTTGGTCAGCCAACAACACGTTTATAAACAATTCCGTAAAGCACAAACCCACTCACCCAAACAAAATAATTATCCACTCGGCTATATTTGTTGAAAATCATAAACTAATTGATTTAAAGTCAAAATTGTATTTGAAATACAAATTAATTTTCCAACTAGGGGTGGGCAAAAATACCGAACCGGCATGATACCGAACCGGACCGGTATGGTACCGGACCGATAAACGGGGTTGGAAACGGATCTCAAAATTTTTTGTCCCGAACCGGACCGAACCGGTTCCAAACAATGTCATGACCGGTTCTCATAAAATGAGAACCGGTACCGGACCGAAGTATGGTTTATTAAATTTGTACTACTATAGTTTATCTAAAATATATTAATTACCTCATCCGTCCCAAATTGATTTGCAAAGCCAACATTTTTTTGTCAAAGTTAATGTTAAGTTCTTGAATTTAATGCAATTTTTAATAATTAAATGTTACATATTTAGAAGCCACACTAAAATCTCTCTAAAGTTGCAAAATCAAAATTAAAATATACGAAGTACGGAGTAGTTTTTTTGAAAGGCCAAATTAGAATATAATTAAAAAGTGAAATTCTAATTAAGCGAATAAAAAGAAATTGTTTGACCAAAAAAGATTGACTTTGCAAATCAATTTGGAACGAAGGTAGTATGATATATGAAAATTGATAAATTGTGTGGATATTTTGGAGGATGGCTAAACTTTAATTTTTTTCTTAAACACCTGGAAAAAGTGGCATTGTTTGGTATTGGTATGGCATGGTACCGTCCCGTTTGAAAATGGACTGTACCGAACGGGTTTGGGTCTAAGACCGAACCGTACCGAACCGTTTCAATAGTACCGGTACGGGTACGGGTTCGGCCAAATATTGGACCGGACCGGAGCGTGCCCACCCCTATTTCCAACACTATATTCATACCGTTTCTGAGAGTACTGAGTACCGTGCGTGTGTATGGTCTGTCCATTCCACGATATGGCAACGGGTGATATCTTTTGGAGCAAATCTGAACTATTATTCACAAATCGGGTATATTATACGTAGTATATTGTTCGTATGCTAAACAAGATAAAAAAAAGTAAACTATAGTAATTAGCAATCCATTCGAATCCCTATATTAGTGCAAAATATTAGATTATATACAACCTAATCAAATAAGAGATGAGATTACTTGCTATATGACTTATATCCATTTAGAGCATCTACCATCTAAGTGCAACGGTGTTCTTTAAACGGTCTTCTTTGTTTTCGACATATTTATCCATAATGTCAATGGTAGTGTTTAGACATGGACATTATTAATAACAAGGCAATTAAAAACATAGACTGTCGTGTCATCAAGATCAAGGTTATTAAATACATATAGAAAAGACATCTACTAGATTATATTAGTTCATACCATACCAAATCAAGTCGGATTTAAACAAATCAAAGCAAACATTATTGTACAGATTACAAACAATAATGTTTTTACAAATAGGAATAACACTTAATTTGTAACAACTCGAGAAGGAAAGCGAGCCAAAGCAAAGTCATGGGGCCCAAACTTATCACACCACTTTTATCTTTTTAAGAGCTAAAATTAAAGTTAAAACACTTTTTCTTTTATGCAAAAGCAATTAAATACTATTTAAAGATTGTGTTCATAAACTGGGATGAAGGCATAAACTTTGCGCTCTCAATATCAACCATAAAAATTCATTTTCTATAATCACATCACCTTCCTTTGTATCAATGTTAGA